AGGGGGAGGAGGAGGAGGAGTATGAGGAGGAGGGAGAGGAAGAGGAGAAGGAGGAGGAGGAGGAGGAGGAGGAGGAGGAGGAGGGGGAGAAATATGAGGGGGACGGGGCTGAGGACGTTGCGTCGGCGGCTGTCGGGGAACTTGCCCGCCGCCAGGGGCGCCTGTCCCAGGACTGGTGGCGGTGGTGGTGGTGGTGGTGCTGCTGCTGCTACTGCTGCTGGGAAATCTACTACCCCGCGTGCCGCCGCACAATTGCTGCGCTGACTAAGGAGCGGGCGAGTTTCTGGCCACGGCGAGCCTCGGCCACGAACAAGGTCCCCGACCTGAATCTGAGGAGCGCCGCCGTGATGTCCGTAATCTGCCTGGTCGCGGCCTCCTGGCCCCTCTTCCGGCCCGTCTGCTTGCAAATGCTCCCCTCCTCCTCGTCTCCCGTCTCCCTGCTCTCTGTGTGCTTTTTCCCCTCTGTCCCTTCCCGCCTGCCCGCCCGCCTGCTCCGTCGCGCTGGCCCTGGCCTCCCGCCGGTGCTCTCGCAGTCGATCGCTTGCTTCTCGTTCCTTCTCTCTAGAAGCCTCCTAGATGGGGTCCAAGTAGATGGGGTCGAAGGATCGCGCCGCATCGCCAATGCATCGCTGATGCATCGGCGATGCATCGGCGACGCATCGACGATGCATCGGCGACGTCGGCGTGGGGAAATACGGTCTCCACATCGAGCCGCATCGCCGATGCGTCGGCGATGTGGCGCGATCCTCCGACCCCATCTGCTCGGACCTCGTCTAGGATGCCTATGAGCATCGTTTAACCGTCCCCCATCCCCACCAGCGTGGGCCGGGCCCCACTGGCCGATTTACCCCCCCCCGATGGGGATGTGGGCTGCTCTCTTCGGGCTTCGAGGGGCATATCCCCGACTGAGGTGGTGAGATGGCGGGGCCCGAGACGTGGATGGGGATGGGGATGGGGAGCGGTGAAACGATACTGCGCCTAGGCTCTCCCTCCCCGTCGCCGCACAGCATGAGGCTGCCGGGAGCCGGCGTGGCCACGAGGCCCACCCGGGCGCCCCAGCGGGATGCGGAACCCTCGCGTCGTGCAGAGCCCGAGGCGTTCCTTCTCGGAGGCAAGCGAAGGGGGGGAAGTGTGCCCACGTGTGCCCCTACAGTCAACCCGCACAGTAAGGATGCGCGATAAGGATGCAAGGGCCTTGGACGCCCATTTCGAGGTTTTCGAGCGGGGCGCGACCAGCGAAAGCGGCCAAGGATGGGCCGAGAGTGCGAGGATGCAAGGGTACCCTTGGGAAGGTTGCCCATCCTTACTGTGCGGGTTGACTGTACAGTGCCGTTTTTTATGCATGCTCCGCGTGCGGATCATGTATGACAAATGCAGGGATTTAGCATTAAAAACAACGGTGAGTTCATGCATGAACTTATTCACAAGTTGATCATGGATTGAGACTCCTATATTTCTTAAAATCCTATGTACTAGAAGCTGCCCTGTACGGACGGCCACAGCGGATCTCAAGAACGCTCTCGACGCAGTGACCCACCAGAGCAGATGGCGAGCCCTCGAGGAGCGAGGGCCGCCTGCGGCGTCGATGGCGTCCCCCCTGAGCTTGTCCCCTCGGCGGCGAGCCCGGGGGGGGGACGCGAGCCCGGGGCGGGCCTGCTCCAGAAGGCTCGGAGGTCACCCGGCCTTCGGAGAAGTGCTCCGAGCCCTCCCCGAAGACACAGCAGGAGCTTCCGAGAGGGCGCGAGGGCTTCTGAGAAGCCCCGCCGCCTTCTGAGAAGGCCTCCTCCTTCTCACTTCCCCCCCTCCCTCGCCGCCGACCTTAACTCAGCGTTTTGGCCACAGGGTCGGGGATCTTCTGACCCAGGTCAATCCAAACCCGGGTCAGTGGCCTTGCAGAAACCTGCAAGATTCTGCACCCAAACCCGGGTCAACGCGAACGATCCTGCAAAATCCTGCAGGATCCTGCACCCAAACCCAGGTCAATGCGACCCTGGACCTGCAGGATCCTGCAACATCGGGCGCTCTGGCTGACCCCCGTTTGCATTGACCCCCGTCTCATGGGGAAACCAAAAGGTACCGATACCGCTACTCCCTGGACCTCTCCTGGGGTGCGCTCTGACCAGGATTCTGAGGCGAATCCAGCGGTGGCGACGACGGAGGCCCAGGAGGTCCAAAAAGGGGAGAACGAGGGGAGGGTAGAGGTATGGGTACCTTTTCCCTCTCTAGGGGGCCACATGCGAACCCTACCCCTACCCCCCACGATTTCCGAGGGGGGGGGTCACTTCGTTTGGGAGCTCTCGAGCGAAGTGAACCCCACCCTCCCCCTCAGAGATCGTGGGGGGTAGGGGCAGGGTTCGCATGTGGCCCCCTACTCTTGGGCGTCGCCTAATGCGGGGGTCACAAATGGGGGGGTCAAAAAAAGATCCCCTTTCGTGCCCCTCCAGAGCCCCAGGGGGCCTCGTTTAGGTACCGTTTGGGTACCTTTTCGGGCCACCCTCGCCGCCCGCGACCCCCCCCCATTTATGACCCCCCCATTACGCGGCGCCCTGCTCCTCTGATCTCAAGGCTCCGGACAGGGGGGTGCAGCCTGTCCCGCCGTGCCCATGGGGGACGGGCGCGGCCCCGGCCGCGGAGAGCGGGCCGCGCTGCGGCCAGCCCGCATCGCGAGGAGGCGCGGCAAGGGTGCAAGGGCCTCGGAGGAGGAGGACGTGGAGGAGGAGGAGGAGGAGGAGGAGGAGGAGGAGGAGGAGGAGGTGGGGGAGGAGGAGGAGGAGGAGGAGGAGGAGGAGGAGGAGGAGGAGGAGGGAGGAGGAGGAGGAGGAGGAGGAGGAGGAGGAGGAGGAGGAGAAGGAGGCCATATCAGCGCCTTGCGAGCGAGGCTGGCCAGCGGAGGTCGCCAAGGACGGGCCGAAGGGGCGAGGCTGCAAGGGCACCCGTGGGAAGGATGCCCGGGTTGGCTGCATGGCTGCATGGCCCCGCCCTGGGCCCGCCGTCCTTCCGCAGCTGCGACCACTCGCCCTGGAGCTGCGACCTGCGGGGGAACGCTCGGGGAGGGGGGGATGAGAGACCTCACCAGCTTGCCATCGCTCGGACGTGCATCCCGTATGCATTTGTCGGCGCCGTGCTTTTCCCTAAGCATCCTGTGGTGCTGGGTACTCACTTTAGCGCCCCGCGTCCTCCTCCTTCCTCCTCATCCCTCTCCCTCCCTCCCTCCCTCCCTCCTCCCATTCCTGCCTCTACCCTCCGCAGGTCCTCATAATCGCCCCCTCCCACATTTTGCAGTCCCCCAAGGAGCTCCAACGAAGGGCAAACTGCCAGCATGGCGTCGCCACTTCATTTCGGCACACACCTCACACGATTCGTGGCCCCACAGGGAGCTCCGGGTAAGGCCCAAATACCAGGGTCCGCATGGCGTCGATGACTCATTTCAGCACACCCCGCACACGTTTCGTGGCCCCATCGGGAGCTCCAACGAAGGCCCGAACTCCAGCGTCCGTATGGCGTCGCCGCCTCATTTCAGCACACCCTCGCACGAAGCCAATCGACCGCGCCCCCCCGCGCGCGGCCCAGACGCTCTTGTTCACGAGAGCGGGTAAACCGAGGTGTTTCCGGTTCCTGCCCTCGCGAACAAAGCCATGGATATGGAGAGGGAGCTAGCTAACATCATCTCGGAATCGCCTATTCCGACCCGCGGCCGGTCGGCAGGCACACCGGTCAGGGACTTGTTGATGAAGCGCGACCCGTGGGAGAAGATGGACCCGTGGGAGAAGATGAAGGGTCCCAGCGAGGAAGCGGCCCGTACCGGTCCCGGCCCATCTTCCCCGACGTGCCCAGGTGGAGCCGCAACGTCTACCACCCCCCTCGTCGCGGACGACGGCTACCAGCGCATGCACGACGAGGAGGAGCAGCAACAGGAGGAAGAGGAGGAGCAGCAGAGCGACCGCCCTTTCAGGCAGCCAGACTTTGACGCAGGGATGGGCGAGGACCAGGCGGTGACCATGGCAGGGATAGCGGCACTACTACGGCCCGTGACGTCAGCGGTTGACGAGCTTCGCAAAGAGGTACGGGGCATAGACGGCAACATCACCGACTCGAGTTCCTCGAGCAGCGCATGTCCGTCACCGATGTCCGTGTCGAGAAGCTGGAGAGCCTGTACAACGACCTGCTGCAACGCCCCGCCATGGACACGGACATGCTGGAGAGGAAGATCCGGGAGGGCATCGAGGACTACACGAAGAAGGACTTCGCTCCTTCACCTACGCGCGCCGGCATGTCCACAGGAGCCAGCATCGAGAAGAAGGCCGTCACCGCGGTCGTGGGCAACTTGGAGGGCCTCTCGGACCTCGAGCAGGCGACCACGTGGTTGAACGACAAGCTCTCGTCGCTGGGGGCCCCGATGCCGACGAAGATCTACGCCAAGGGGCGCTACGCCGGCATCGTATTCGCCGAGTTCGGAGGCTCCTTTGATCGCGACCGTTCTGTGGAGCTCCTCAGGGGGGCCGGCCTACGAAGTGGAAGCAAACAAGTTTGGGCGAATCAGGACCGCGCTGCCCCTGCCAGACTTTTGCCGCGCTGAGCGCGCGGCCAGAAACTTTTGCTTCGGCCTCAAGCGCATCCTGAAGACAGAATGGGAGGTGCCATACGCGATTTCGATTACCGACGAGGCGCCATACGTGGTCACAGTGGGCGGGGAGCATGCCCTCACGGCGAACGTCACGAAGACCGGAGTCGAGTACGATCGGAAGGGCGAGTGGGCTTCTTGGGACGAATTGCACCAGCATGCGCTGATCGTCGAGCTGAAGACGAAGTGCGCCGGGATCGTATCCAGGGCGGCAGCCGGCATGAAAGGCCAAGCGAAGGGCGGCTCCAAGGGGGGCCCTGCCCAGGGGCAGGCAGCCCCACATTAGGAAATACCGCACATGAGCACTGTTTCACCCGCAGTCGGCACTACTGCACCTATAAACCCAAATCGTTTGAGAATTGATTTATGCATGGGCCCCAGATTACCTGCGGCTGGCGCCGCCGCGGACAGTTTTTGAGGAGCAGGCGAGTTCGCGCCAAGACGCGGCTTTCTTCTTCAGAGGCGGAAGGCTCGCGGTATCTGACTCGAACCTCCAACTTGGCACCTGGAACGTGGAAGGCTTCACTGAGACGAAACTGGTGGAGATACAGACGCATATGATTGATAGAGGAATTGATATATTATGTCTGCAGGAAACGCACAAGACATTGTCAGAATACTACGTCACAGAAGCTGGCTTCTTGCTAATATTATCGGGAACGGCGGAGGACGAAGCGACTGAGACGGCAGGAGTGGGATTTCTGGTCTCACCCGCGGCACGGCGCAGCATCATCGGGTTCAATCAAGCCTCGTCCAGAATGACATCGCTGAAACTCCGCGTCGCCGGCGGCAAGATCGTTGTCTGCAGCGCGTACGCCCCGCACAGCGGCAAGCCTATGGAGGAGCGGCGCGACTTCTTCCAGGAGCTGGACCGTTTCCTCGGGACGCTGTCCTGTCATTCTTTGCGGGGATCTCAATGCCCGTCTACACCGCCGCCGCCCAGGGGAAGAGACAGCGCTGGGCGAACACATCTTTGGGAATCCGCATGCGCAACACACTCCGGTGTCGAATCGTTCCTTCTTGCTCGAACTCTGTTTCTCAAGGAAGCTATACATCGGGAACACAATGTTCGACGAACCCGTGGAGAGAAGGATCACGTGCTATAGCGACGGATCATCGCCGGCGGACCCGCCGATCGAGCGGCACTTCGGCCAGATCGATATCATCCTTGTCAGTGCGGAGTGGAAGGATTCGGTCCAGCGGGTATGGAGTGATCGAACAGCGGCGCTTGCCTCGCACCATTTCCTTGTGCAAGCTGAACTACAAGTCGAAATACAGAAGGCGACGCCGTCGGCGCCGCCGACGCGAAGAGACATTTCGGCACTGAGAGAACCGGCTTTGGCGAACTCCTTCAACGAGCTCTTCACTGAACACATGGTCTCACATTGCTCCGGCGAGGATGTCTCGGCCCACCAGCTCAACGAGAAGATGATTTCAGCATTCCGAGACGCCGCGGACCGTTGCTTACCAGAGGCAGCGCTCCGGCCGAAGCGGCCGTGGATATCGGAGCAGACTTTGGCCATCATTCGGGAGCGGAAAGACGCCCGCTCGCGAGGTCTTCTTGCCCAAGAACGCGCCCTCAGCCAGCGAGTCAAAGCTTCAGTCAAAGCGGACAGGACAAGATGGTTGGAAGACAGCTTAGCAACAGGGGATTGGACACAGATCCGGCTGCTCAGGAAAAGCGTCGTTCCCCGACAGGGCCTTCTCCAGAATTTGGGCGGAGAGCTGGTCGACTCAGACACTCGCGACGACACGCTGGCAGAATATTTCAGCAGGGTCCACTGGGCTGTTCGGCCAACCACCGTGGCCGGTTTCGGACAGTCTGGGAGCCGCCCTGCCGGTGGAAGTGTCAGGACATCACAGAGGACGAGGTCGTGAGAGCTGCCGCCAAACTCAAGGCGGGGAGGACGGCTGGCAAGGACGACGTCCCGGCGGAGTTCTGGAAGGCCGTTTGCATCCGAGAGACAGAAGCGTGCCGCTGGGCGGTGGCTCTGTGCAACAAGTGCTGGCGGGGCCGCGAGGTTCCGGAGCCGTGGCACGAAGCGCTGGTCGCAGCCATATTCAAGAAAGGAGATGTGGCAAAATGCGAGAATTACCTCCCAGTCTCGCTCCTCTCGGTCGGGTACAAGATATTCGCTGCCATCCTCTTGAGCCACCTGAAGGACGGCGGCGCCGAGGGCCGCGCATGGGCCACCCAGTTCGGCTTCAAGAGCCGGCACGGCACGGCAGACGCTATCTTTCTGGTGCGCAGGTTACTCGAGCGCACATGGGCAGAGAAGAACGGAAGGCTGGCATTGCTCGTTCTCGACTGGGCAAAGGCGTTCGACAGCGTCTCGCCCGACGCACTCTGCCTCTCCTTGGAACGTTTTGACGTCCCCGACCATTTCGTCCAGGTCGTCCGGGCCATCTACGACAACCGTACCTTCGCCGTCCGGGATGCAGGAGTCACTTCAGCCACACACCCGCAGTTTTTCGGAATATGCCAGGGGTGCCCGCTTTCCCCGTTCCTCTTCGCAATCGTTATGACGATGCTGCTACACGACGCGAAGAGAGAGGCGGCGCCGAGCTTGGACCCGAAACTGCACGTCCACGAGCTTGTGTATGCGGACGACGCACTTCTGCTTGCCACGTCGGCTCACCTGGCGGAGGAGTACATGGGGGCCGTGCAGCGAGCTGGACTCCAGTACGGCTTGCAGTTCAATTGGAGCAAGATTGAGGTGCTGACAGTCGGCGTCGATGCGTGTTTATCGAAGCCGGACGGCAGCCCAGTCCCGCAGCAAGAAAGTATGGTATACCTCGGGAGCGCCATCAGCGACGACGGGAAGATAGGATCAAAATTGTCGCGGCGGCTGGGCGCGGCGCGGGCAGAATTTGACAAGCTTACCAAGGTCTGGAATCATTCGACACTGACCCAACAGCGCAAGATCAGGATATTTGAATCCTGCGTGGTGAGCAAACTGTTATACTGTGTCCTCACGGCCTTCTTGAACAAGCAAGAAAATCGTCGTCTGGATGCGTTTCAGGCACGGTGTCTCCGCAAGATTCTCCGGATCCCACATTCATACATCAGCAGAGTCCCCAATGCAGTCGTGCTCCAGCGGTCGGGGGCACGCCTTCTGAGCAATTCACTCCTTCGTAAACAGCTTACCTTTTTGGGGCACGTCGCCAAGAAGCCAGGCGACGATGCCGTGCGCCTCACAGTTTTCCAGCCGTTTTCGCATCTGCTGGAAAACAGGAAACGGGGGCGCCCGAGGAAGACCTGGCCGCAAGAGATTTACCGACATGCCTGCGCAGCTGCCGGGGGTGTGGAGGCCCTTCCGGCGCTCCTGCGCAACACAGCCCAATCGGCGACGGCGTGGCTCTCCGCTGTGCACACATACTGTGACGCCGGGTAGTCGTTCAATTCGTGCTCATGTGCTTGTTTCTGTCTCACATCATTTGTGCGGCTGGCAGCTCAATTTGTGCAATTTGTCTCACATTTTCGCCACATGGCCAATGCACCTCTGACGTGCACGGCTTTCTTCTTCTTCTTCTTCTCGCACGTGTCGTGGCCCCATAGGAATCTCCAACCAAAGCCCAAATTCCAGGGTCCGCATGGCGTCGCCGCCTCATTGCGGCACACCTGCACCCCCCGCACACGCTTCGTGGCCCCATCGGCAGCTCCAACAAAGGCCAAAATACCAGGGTCCCGTCGTCGCCTCATCTCGGCACACCCCTCGCACGCTTCGTGGCCCCATCGGGAGCTCCAACGAAAGCCCAAATACCAGGGTCCGCATGGCGTCGCCGCCTCATGTCGGCACACAGGCCCATCAGCTGGGACTCTCTGGGACGGGGAAGTGGGCACGTTACGACGGCGCACGGGACTCTGGCCCAAGCAAGGAGACTCCCCGCCGGCCCACGTCAGCTCCCCCCCCTCATCAGCGCCGCAATCCTTTTGCTGGCCCGCTCCTTCATCTCGCCTGCCTCGCGATGCTCGCAGCTGCATATGGTTGGGTTTGTCGCCAAGATCGTTTTTTAGGGGGGAACCCAGTAGCGGTCGTTATCCGAAGAGGGGGGAAGTTGGGGGGGGCCTGGGTAACGGTAGCGGTTGGGCGGGGTGGGGCACGTCGGGGCGGGGGTGCACTGCGATCGCCACAGTATAAGCGCGAGCGCCAGCATGTGGGGGGGAATCCAGGCCTCCCTCCTTACGTACGATCGCTGCCGTTATCCGAAAGGGGTGGGGGGGAAGGGCTTAGCCCTGGTCGCGACCGTTACACGCTAGAGGATGAACATTCGCCTGGCGAATGACCCAACCATATGCAGCTGCGAGTAACGTAGGATTTGACCTTCTCATTATAGGCAGCGCGCCGCGGGAGAGATGGAGCACGGAGCAACGCGGATGGGAACCCCGAAACGTGTGCAGGGTGTGCCGAAGTGGGCTGAGGGACGCATACGGGCGCTGCCACCGGGGCCTTCGGCGGAGCTCCCTATGGGCCACGAAACATGTAAGGGGAGCCCTGCCACTGGGGCCTTCGGTGGAGCTCCATATGGGGCCGCGAGGCGTGTGAAGGGTGTGCCGACATGGAGGCGAAGCCACCATGCGGACCCTGCCACTGGTGCCTTCGGTGGAGCTCCCTACGGGGCCTCGAAACGTGCGAAGGGTGTGCCGACATGGGGCGGGGCCGCCATGCGAACCCTGCCACTGGGGCCTCTGGTGGAGCTCCCCATGGGGCCGCGGAACGTGCAAGGCGTGTGCCGACATGGAGGCGGGGCCGCCATGCGGACCCCTGCCACTGGGGTCTTCGGTGGAGCTCCCCAAGGGGCCACGGCACGTGTGCGTGAGGGGCGTGCGCCGAAGCAGAGACGTGCGGAGAGGGCAGGGGCGCAGCGGCGGATTGAGGGAGGAGCGAGGCGGGAGGAGGAGAGGGAGGCGCGAGGAGGGAACGCGGGGCGCTGCCTCCTCAAAACGAGGACCCAGCACCACAGGATGGCTGGGAAAGTAAGACTCCACCTGTCGACGTCTTGTCCACTACCAAGTTTGGCCGCACAATGCCACAAAAAGCCATCGGGAGGCCTCCTCCGCCTCCTCCTGCTCCTCCCCTTTTTTCGTCCTCCTCATCCTCCCCCTCCTCCTCCTCCTCCTCCTCCTCCTCCTCCTCCTCCTCCTCCTCCTCCTCCTCCTCCTCGCTCGGCACGATCACACAAACATGTAGCACCAGTGATGCAATATGGGCCAGCGGAATGAGCGAAACGATTCAACAGTATTCCACCTGCCGTTGCCCCTGGCGACCACTCGTGCAGCTCGGCCAGCTCCCGCCCCCGCCGGAAGCGCCTCAGCGCCACCAGCGAGGCCCACGCGTCAGAGAGCGCCTGCTGCACGTGGCGCCGGGCGTCCTCCTCCTGCAGGAGGAGAAGACTGGAGGTCTCCCAGATGGGGTCCTAGTAGATGGGGTCGAAGGGTCGCGCCGCATCGCGAGTGCATCGCCGATGTATCGCCGATGCATCGCCCGGCGACGTCGGCGTGGATGAAATCGGGCTCCACAGCGAACCGCATCGCCAATGCACCGTCGATGCGGCTCGATCGTCCGACCCCGTCTACTCGGACCCCATCTGGGAGGCCTAGAAAGACACAAAGGCACTACACTGGCATACCCAGACGTCCAACGCAGTGGGCGTCTTCGGACGAGGCTCGAAGATTTACAGCGTGTTCGTCTGTTCTCGGTGGCTCTCCAGCTCGGGGATGCGCTCCAGCAGCCGCGCCTCGCCGAGAACGTTCCAGGGGCGCCTGGATCTACTACGATCTACTACGATCTACTACGATCTACTACGATCTACTACGATCTACTACTACTACTACTACTACTACTACTACTACTACTACTACTACTACTACTACTACTACTACTACTACTACTACTACTACTACTACTACTACTACTACTACTACTACTACTACTACTACTACTACTACTACTACTACTACTACTACTACTACTACTGACTACTACTACTACTACTACTACTACTACTACTACTACTACTACTACTACTACTACTACTACTACTACTACTACTACTACTACTACTACTACTACTACTACTACGACTACGACTACTACTACTACTACTACTACTACTACTACTACTACTACTACTACTACTACTACTACTACTACTACTACTACTACTACTACTACGACTACGACTACGACTACGACTACTACGACTACGACTACTACGACTACGACTACGACTACGACTACTACGACTACGACTACGACTACTACCACCACTACTACTACTACTACTACTACTACTACTACTACTACTACTACTACTACTCGGACTCGTGCACCACATCACCACGGCTCAACCGCCTTGGGATGAGCGCCTTGTGGCTGCCTCATTTCCAGTATGTAGCGAGCACCTCTTCTGGGTGAAATGGCGGGTCTGACGTGCATGCAGCGGCGGGCGCTTATCCGAGGGCAGCTGGCCCCCACGGCCCAGAGTAAAGCGACAGCGGCGGCACAGCAGCACACGGGGCGACCCCAGTACCGCCATCGAGGCCAACGAGCGCAAGTAGGCGCGAGAAGAGGCCAGGATGGCAAGCCAAAACGGCTAGGCGCACAGCGGCGGCACAGCAGCACACGGGGCGACCCCAGTACCGCCAGCGAGGCCAACGAGCGCAAGTAGGCGCGAGAAGAGGCCAGGATGGCAAGCCAAAGTGGCTAGGCGCACAGTTGACCGTGCGAAGGGCGAAGAACTAAGCAACAGGGTCCGCGACGCGAGGGGGGGCACCACTGTGGGCGCACCCGCGCAAGCTGGCACGGCGGCGTTGCTAAAGCTGGAGCGTAAGCGAGCATACAGGCGCAGCATCATTGAGAGTGGCAGGCTCGGGATCTTAACACAGGAACTCACGCAGCCCCCCCGAGGGCTCAGAAGTAAACGATGCTGGGGGCCTGCAGAGTCTCAGCGTTCAGGCGGACTGGCCTGTCCCTTGCGCAATGGCTGCGAAGACCTGCGACGGCAGCGCCTGCACCTCTCCCCCGAGGTCACCACTACCGCCAGCCTGCCCTGGGGGCCCAAAGATCTGGCGCTCGAGATCCTCACCGAGGGCCACGTTCAGGGCGGCGACATTGGGGATCTGCTGCGGGAAAGGGCCAGCCGGCGGCGGCGGCGCCGCAGGGGGCGCCGTCAGCGGCGGCGGCGGCGGGGCCATGATGGCCGCCTGCGGGGCTCCAGCAGGCGGTGGTGGCGGGTCCTGGCTACCGCGGGCCGAGCCAGGGGGGGGGGCACTGGCGGCGCGGACGGGAGTGGCACGCGGGGCGACCCCGGTACCACCCCCGCCGCCCGTGAGGCTGCCCTCCCGGAGGTTGTGGCGGCGCTCATAGGCCTGCAGTTCCGCGTGCGCGGTCGCCAGGCGCTCCCTCTTGGCCTTCTTCCGCTGGTTCTTGCTGTAGCCCGCCCAGGCTGGATCGTTCAGCCCCCAGGCAACCTGCGAGTACAAGTCGGACCACTGGAACTCAGGCAGGTCGTCCCAGGAGAGCCCGCCCATTAGCACGTAGTGGCCCTCCCACTGCGGCTGCAGCGGAGCGTAGCGCTTAAAGACGGTGCCCACCGCCAGCGGCTCGACCTTGGGCAGGTGTTGCAGGAGGTCCACAGCGCTGAGCACCGCTACCCCCTCCCTCTTGAGCTTGTCGTAACGCAGCAGGGCCTTCAAGTCGCGGATGTCCTCCTGAGGGAAGTCCGCGTGCATGTAATACGCGCGGGGCGGGTTCAGCTCTTCTCTATCATCTCGATGCAGACGCCGTACGAGGTCGCGTAGCGCGCGCCGCAATGGCAGTGCCAGCGCTGGCCAGACTCCCCCGCCGCCTCCTGCGCGCAGGTGAGCAGCTGCGTCCAGCGATCCGAACGGATCACCGAGCAGCATCCCTTGGGATTGTCCCAGGTCTTGTTGGCCAAGCACTTGTAGTACATGTTGAACGTACAGCCCTTGCCACGGTAGAGCTGGTCCGTGTAGTCGCCCATCCGTCGGTAGGCCTCCTGCGCCATGGCGTTGCCCTGGCACTCCTCCTTCCACGCACGTTTGTGTCCCAGGTGCGCGTCCACGACCTCCGAGGCCTCCAGGAGGCCCTTCTTCAGCCTTACCACATCAGCCTCTGCCTCCGCATCCAGCGCGCCGAGCCACTTCTGAACCCCGTCCTGCGCCGCCGCGCCCTTCATCATGTCCTCTTTCTTCTCCAGGATGGGCCCCATGCCTCCCAGCATGTGGGTGCGCATGGTCTCAAATTTGAGGACACCGCAGGCCCGCGCCATACGCTTCAGCGATTTCTTGGAGAGGCCGAGCCGCAGCAGGGGCTCGACATCCGCGACCTCCTCCAGTCTCGGCGTCGACCAGCTGGTGCTCCTGGCCCTCAACGTTATTGTCGAGCAGGGGGTCGCTATCATCACCACGGGGAAGGTCTGCGGCGCCAGGTCCATCCTCGAGGGGTGGAGGTGGCGCGCGGGGCGGCCCCGGCACCACCTTCACCGCCATCGGGCGACCGACCTCCTGCGCCACCGTCTCCGTGGCCGGAGGGGCGCCCACGCTCTCGGGAGCGATGCCCACCCCGACGCCTTCCGTCGCCCTCCGCAGGGCTAGCAAGCCGTCGTTGGAAAGCGCGTAACCCACGAGCACGTCCATGCCCTCCTTGATGCGGTCGAAGCTCGCACGGAACTTCGCCACGCGCTTGGCGGCGTGGTCGATGGAGCCAGCTCCCTTGTTCTGGCGCGCTGCGCGCGTCACAGCCTCGTGCTCGGGGATGCCCTGCGCCGCCGCCGCGCAGTGCGAGCACGTGTGCAGCTTGTGTTGGCCTTGATCACCCTTCCGCAGCTTGGGGTACTGCGGGCTGTGCTCTGGAGCTTCGGTGTAGCGGCGCATTTCGCCACAGTTGAGCTCGTCCACGTACTCCACCATCATGACCTTCCAGTCATCCAGCGCTGCGCACTCACGACACCAGCCCAGGCGCTGCGGCGGGAGGCAGTGCGCACCCATGCAGTGTACGTAGCCCGCCGCGAGGTAGTCCACGTCCGTCATCATCTCAGCGTCCTCGAGCTCGGCGACCGTGCCGCCGCTCGGCGGGGGGGCTTTGCCGTAGGCAGCCTTGTTGCTGCGACGGCGGTGGCGTTTGCCGCCGTGCCCGCTGAGGGCGCCCGTGGTCGCTGCACTCGGAGCCTCACTGGCGGTCTCATCGTCCATGAGGCGGCAGCCGTCGGCGTCGCTGCGCGCGCCTCGCCCGCCGTGGCCGCTCACAGCCTGCTCCCGCAGCTGGAGGTTGTGGAGCGCGAGGGTGATCGCGTCCAACCCGCGGCGCTGCTCCGCGGTGAAGTTGGAGTAGGTGGCCGCCGCTGTCAGGGTCGCCTTCGTAACTGGCACCACCGCCGACGGGGGCATCGCCGAGGGCTCAGCAGGCGCCTTGGCCGTCGCCGTGGGGGCACCGTCAGAGGCACCGTCAGAGGCAGCGGCGCTGGGGGCGGCCCCCGTACCGCTGCCTCCGTCGGCACCCTCAGCAGGCGCCGCCGACTCCGTAGGCAGTGTCGGCGCCGTCCGAAAGGTCGCCGCCTCCGACATCACGTCGACACCCTCGCCCGAGATGTCGCTGCTCTCCGACGCGCTCACCTGCTGGCCAGGGCGCGGCGCAGGCCCCGCTTTGGGAGTGGGCGCGTCGGCCGCGATCGAACCGCTGGCCTTCGCGCGCGCCTCGGACCTCGCCTTAGCCTTCGCCGCCAGCGCCTCGCGAAGGGGCGCCGCATTGTGACTGGGCGAGTCAGTATGCGGCACCGCGGGCCACGGCATCGGCGCGGAGCGAAAATGAAACAGGGGAACTAAAGGTTGAAACCAGCGGCTCCTGGTGAGCGGAGATCCATCCTTGAGCAAGCTGAAAACGGCCTGACCCCCGTTCGGGACCCTGGACGGGCAGGAGAGGGGGAAGGGGGGCGAGGAAAACACGTCGCGGGCGGGCGCCAAAGCGGACGGCGGGCCGCCGACGGTCCCAGGACCCGCGGGGCGCCCCCGATCTTGAACGCCTCTTGAGGCCTCTTTTGCATGTGGCCTCGGGCTGATGCTGCTGGCGGAACGATGGCCCATCACGGACGGGTTGAGAGAGCAGCTCAAGACTATGAGCCCAACGAAGGTGGCATGGCGGGAGCACAACGCGCACAAGGCTGGGTAACTGCACAACGCAGCATGCAAAGCTGACATGACAAAGCAAGAGCGCATCGTGCACGCTATGAAGGAACTACACAGTACAGTACACACTGCTGACGTGACCACGGCTTTACAACTGATCAGGGCAGCAGGTAGGCAGGGGGGGGGGGAGGGGCAGGGGGCACACACGTGTGGGAGGGAGCCACATCTAGTC